GCATCGTTCAAGTTCCAATCCTTCTCAAGAACCAAAGCGTAAATCCCCTGCCACAATTTGCAATCAGCCTGCTGGGCCTCTAGAATTGTGGGAGCTCGCAAGCCTGATGAAGCTTCGTGGCGCTGAGACAAAAGATGTATGAACTTGCTGCTATAAGCTTTGAGGCGAGCCAGGTGACAAGAGCCTACCATGGCCAGTGCAACATCGTGGATTGCTAAGACTGCTAAGATCCTCTGCACTGCACTGACCCCCATGAAGTTATCGCCCACCTCCAACGTGGGAGGCTCATCAAGAAGCAAACTGGAAATGCCGAGCGCTTCCAAACGCGGCTGTTTGGCGGGCCTACTCAACTGAAGCTCGGCCGCTTTCTCTTCTGACATGCGATGCTTCCAGGGAATCCACTTGTAGTCTTTCTTACTTTCTTGATGAGCAGCTAGAGATACCAGACGAAGCGAGGGCATTGAGCATGGAGACAATATCTCGCTCGTGTATGCAGCAAGAAAGGCTTTCTTGTACTCCGTAAGCTTCAAAGCTGTGATTTTTGGCGTGAAGGTTTCTACCCAAGAGCTAGTCTCTGAAGCGGATGTGGGAACTGCAGGCGGGGCCGAAGACGCGCTGCTCGACAACCCAGCCCACGCTGCTCGAACTTGCGCAATCTGAAGACGGGAAAGCTCTGAAGATCCAAATATGTCTGGAATCACTTTCTCAAGATCAGCTGGGGAATCCGCCGCATGGCGGAAAGTGGACAGAGTCCATCCCGCATCGGTTGCCACCTTGATGAGAGCTTCCGAGAGGCCTTCAGCTTTAAGAATATCACTCAGGGACATGGCGCGAGACTACCCCCTAGGCTAAGAGAGCCCTAGAAACCGAGGGAACCCGAGCCGAGACTACAGGGACGCGCGAAAGGCCTAGGCCGAGAGCGTGAAACAAGTACGCATATTCAGCAGCCTATGGCCAGTTCGGCTAGTAGCCATGCGACCGACCAAAGCCAAGGATAATGGTAACGCATAACTGCAGCCCAAAATGCTTTCTGAAGCCAGGAAGAACAAGCAAAAATGCGCATATTCATCGGCTTGACCCGAAGCCCGACAGCCCACGGCTGAGGCCCTGACCAGAGCCAAAGACAGAGCACAACCAGTAAAGCCCAACCGCAAGAGAAAACCCCGGAGTAGCAACCCGGTTGCAACCTGCACCCATATTGACATTTTTCAACCGCTCACCTGCAAGGCAGCCGATGCTACTGATACAGCGGAATTCTGAGACGGTGCCAAAAGTAATCTGATGTTTGCAACAGCTGCCGCCACGACCAGCTGGAGAGATATTGAAGCACACGCGCTGATTCCCGTATTGATTGTACCAGATAAAACCAGTCTGCAAAATAGAACCGAACAAAGCGGGATGCGTAGGGAAGCCGCACCAGCCTGAGGAGTTGGGCCCGTCGGTCAGCGATGGTTTCCTGCAGTGCCATGCGATTGCAGAGCTAACCTGAGCGTCACGAGAAGCAGAAACGGTTTGAGCCAAACAACTACTTCGTAACAAGTGCGAAACCCAAGGACGGAAGCAGACGCACATGCAGACGCAAACTCGAGACATAGCTTGGTTGTTTTAGCACCTGCGCAAAATGCGACTCACTGCTGAAGCTGGCCATATGCAATGCAGCAGGCCTTACGCTTGCAACGCTGAAGCTGAGGATTGAAATCCGAAGAGATGCGAATGTGATCAGCTGGAAGCGAAACCCCACATGCTGGCCTGACAAATGCACCATCATAAGGAATACCTTTCGATGCAGAAGCACGAACCAACACATGCTGGATGTTCGTCAATGAACCGAAAAGAAACTCATCCGCAGGCCCAAGCAGTGGCCCTTCATCCGCCGAGCTGTCGCCCGACTCCTCATCGGAAGACTGGATATCCCGTAACTGAAAAGCCGGCACTTGCTTCTGCTGATCCTGCGGGAAATTTTCCTTGGAGGGAAGATCTACAAAAGGAAGTCTATTGCCAGAGCGAAGCGAGAAATGCCGAAAATAATGCCAGCTGCAGGGCCCAACCTCCTTGCAGTAGTTTTCCAACTGGACGTCCGGTTCATCCATAGGAGATTGCGCTCCCCTATGTAAGGGGGTCATGAAGCGAGCGCCCGAGCGAACAGCATGCTGGATCTTCATCTGTGCCCTGAGGGATGGGACAATATCGTCCCTGCTATAAAGTTGGCTCGAAGAAAGCCGATGATGGCCTTGACAGGACTTCTCAAGCTGGGATACCTCCGGTCGCTGGCCAGACCATGATAGCATTGTAGTTTTGAGCGAATGTATTGTATAATTTAGCGTTGTGACTCCCAGAGTGTTAGCAAACTGGCATTTCATTGAATAATTATTTTTACACTAATGTTACGGTTTTGATATGATTTCAAGGATCCTGCCGGTTACGATTATGATACGATTTTGACATGGTTTACGATTTGGATACGGTTTGGATACGGTTTGGATACGATTTTGATACGATTTCGTTACGATTTTGATACGATTTTGATACGATTTCAATACGATTTCGATACGTCTCCAGCCTCCCCAAGGACTGGTTTTGATGTGTTTGCTAGGTTTTCGATATGGTGTTAAGACTTGCAGCCGAGCTGCCTTCCGAGCCGTGAAACCGTAACCAAAACCGTATCAAAATCGTAAACGGGAAAACCCCCTAAATCATAAGAAAACCATAAGATATAACAATAATTCCCGGCGCATACCCTTAGTTTGCTATGTGTGGTAGTCACAAATTTAGCGTCGGTGAAGTTACTGAAGACGGCCTGCTACTTTTCCAAGGTAGAGTAATCACGTGACGCAGATGGCGAAGCGCAGCAGCGTAGCTCATCGGTTGCAATGGTAAAAGCGTATTGCCTGAACTGTCCAGCGAAAGCAAGAGGCTCGAGGGCAAGGGGACCCCAGAATGGAGGGTAAGATGCTGATGTACTGCATTGTCCAGCGCCTGCAGAAAACGGTGGCACCACGAGTGATTGCCGTAACTCAAGAATCCATGGCACAGCAACCCGAATGGTTGACCAAAGCTGGTTGTCTTAGTTTGGAAACAGCTCCCGCGCAATGATTGCCCATCGTAAGCCAAGGAAGTAAGCTTAACCCTTTGGCCATCCATAAATCTCAGAGATGCCCAGATGAGCACCAGGAAAGATCCCAGCAGAAGGATCTCGGGATCGGTCGCCTCTCGGGAGAGAATCCTTCTTTCAATCTGGATGACCACATAGAGTGATAGTGGCACTGCTTCTTTTCTTTCGCGAGGAAGCTTGCTCTTAAGAAAACTGGCAATGATCTGCGAATGGCTCACTGAGAGACATGCCACCTCAAGCATTTTGTAAACCCAGCGAACAGCTTTGATCGCAGTAGAATGAAGAGTGAGAACCAGCTTCAGGATCAGAACCACGAGCCAAACTCATCACAACCAATACATCAGCCATTTGAAATGAAGTGAGTGATTCAAGTGGAATTTGCATATCGCGCAAAGTGGCCAAGAATTGCTTGAACGCAGAGCAATAACGAATCACTGTCGATGCCATGCAAAGAGAGAGCAACCGAGGCAAGTGATCTTGCTTGCTCCCTGCAAGGCCCTGGCCTATGACACTCAGAGACCCCAGCGACAAGATGATTGTTAAGAAGGCTTGCCTAGCGAGCGGAGACTGCGAAGCATTCACACTGATGCCAGCTTGGGAGCGTTGCTTTTCGGAAGGGGCAGGGCCTATCCTAGAACCCGAAGACTTAAAGGCGGCAGCGGCTTTCTGAAGATCATCAAGCTCTGAAGAGGAAGCCAAACCTAAACCCAAGGGGACCCCAAGAGAGGACCCAGGCTGGTTATTCAAGGCTGAGGCCGGCAGAGCATCAGGCTCCCGACTTGTCGGAGGCTCGGGAAGTTCCAGGCCTTTGGCGGGCAAGGGCGGGGCTGGAGTTCTGGGCTGAGGTGTTAGGGCCGGCAAGGCGGCACTTGAAGCGGGCAATTTCGGGAAAGTGTACTTTGAAGTGAGGTCAGGATCAGCGGGTCGCTTCATGCTCACAAGCCTGCCGTCTCAAGAGCTGCCACTCTAGAACGCAAACTATTGATCTCGTCCCTGGATTCTTCAAGCGCCCGCAAAAGCAACAAGCTGCAGCGATTAAGGCGAGTGATCTCACGCTCACAGCGGCTCACACGCAAGAGTGCACGCTCTATTCTTGCAAGACTTACCGAACTGATTCAGCCACCGACAGAGGAAATCAAGATAATGCTGGTGACCAACGCTCTGCACAGAAAGGGCATCCACTGTGGATGCTAGCTCCGCACTTGAAGCCATGGGCCCACTCATGGGGCAGAAGCTCCCCCCAGGCGAGAGGATACTACAAAAGAAGGATGTGCAAAAATTGTTTGCAAGTTGTGAAGTTAAAGCTGCCAAACATGTGGTAAAACGATGTCCGCAACATGAAAGTTAAAGCAAAGCGTGTCATTTCCCAAGAAAGATGCCTAGCCAGCACAACTGAGCCAAATGTTCGCACGAACATAAAGTAGTAAAACAGATGTGAACAAGTACACAAACCGCGACTTTGATTGCAGCTATACTCTAGACGATTACCTCGACCATCATGAGCGATAGCTGGGAACATCACGGAGTATCTGGCCTACTATCAACACTCCTCCTTCTCGGCATGTGCGGGCTCGCACGTGCTGAGACTCCATTAGGGCCAGATCTCCCAAACTAGAAAAGCATTAACGGTGCATAAAGGATAAAGCAACAGCGTACTCCCCAGGCCCGTTGGGGTTTGGTGGACCAGCCTATGGCCTCTTGACTTTCTCTTTTCGGGCATCTTGACACTGTTCTTGTCCCCGGTGGGAATCACCTGCGCCTTCTAAACCCCCATACACAGACTCTGGACTATTCCTTCGGAGCCCATGTTGCAAAAGAACATGCCGCTCCTGAGAGTGGACCTCGCGCGAAAAGAAGATGATCAGAACGGTTATCATCGACCTACCCATCACGTAATCCGCAGCTGCGCGCGTGCTGTAGCCAATTTCGCTTTCCCCAGGACCTTAGTCAGTCCATCGGCTTCGAGCTCATTCGTCCCACGATGTTGGACCTCAATGTTGTGCAACCACACCAAGTCTCTGATATATGCACAACGGATGGCGAAATGCCTGGTTCGCATCGTCTGTTCATGAAGCCGCTCGCGAGTGATCAAATGGATAGCTCCCGCATTGTCGCCATTGGCCACAAGGTGAATCTTGCATGCAAACAGCTCCTCAAGCACTGCGTGTATCTTGATACCCTCTTGGAACGCCACTGCGGTCGCCTCGATCTCGGACTCAGTCGCTGACCATGCCACAATGGTCTGCCCCTGTGACTTCTAATATACAAGATGGTCACCTAGGAACAGAGCTACCCCGCTTCTGGATCGCGTGCCAACCGGTGCCAAGGATGCATCTGAGACAACGCGAAAAGTCCACTCCGCATCTGCTGTATCATCACCGCCCCCAGGATTCACAGGACCACCACCGTAGCGATAGTGCAAAGTCTTCTCCCATGTACTTCTCAGGTATCGCCAAATCCTCTTGCACAAACGAAGACCTTCGGAAGGCCTCGATGTTATCAGAGTTGAAGCCTGAAGCAACGCCTAAACAAGCAGCCATGTCCGGTCGAGACCGGAGTGCAATCCACATTAAGGTACCAGCCTCCTTCTAAGCCAGTCTCATGTTGCTGTTGAATGCATTGTCACGAAGTTCAGACCCCTGAAGACCCTCCGAAGCACCGGCAAAGATTCCGCGCCCTTGAGTTTTTCACGGTTTAAAACACCACTGGTGCAATAAGAGGCAGGAGCAAGCGACTTCTAGCCTTTATGGCTGTCAGCCTTTTTGCACGTTGCCTGCATCCACACTGCAGCGCAGGAATCCTCTAGGACCTGCACGGAGAACGTAGCAACCCGAGCCGCGTCACTGGCGCGGATGCAGAACATCATGAACAACAAGTCTAGACACGACGCTATCGTGCACAGAGCTCTCTCAATTGCCAGGTTCACAGTGTGGTCGATCGACACTTGCACTTGGAAAAGCTTGTCTTGGCCCTTTGTGTCGTGGAGACTCACATTCATTAGGTCTTGGTAGGCTCATCCTTTGCTGTCAATGCTGTACATGACTGTACATAGTGGTATATTAGCCATATTAGTATGAACTAATATATGTACAGCGAAGCCGACAGAAGTTTGCACGTGAGACCTCAGTCACATAACGACTTCAATTAGGTTCATCAGCAATGTGAAAGCATTCTTGTCTTGCCGTGCGTGCTCTCCAAAACACAGATCCGGAAGAACTTGTTCACCCTTTGGGCACGAGTGGAAGTATAATACTGCGATTGGCTGGGATGATGAAGTGGAGTGCTGTCGACGGTGCAGTTCACCCCCTTTCCCTTTGCATTAACCTTGTGTAAATGCTCAAAGGGTGAATCTGTCCCCTCATAGGGGTTTCCGATGGTTTCCGCTCTGGTTTCCGATGGTTTCCTGTGGTTTCCTGTGGGTTTCCCATGGGTTTCCTGCGGTTTCCTCCAGGTTTCCAAGCGTTTTCCACACCTTTGTTGCAGTCTGCTTTGGTTTCCCATGTCTAGATAGATATGCTCCTCAAAAGTGAGTCTGCTCCTCGTACGGGGTTTCTGATGGTTTCCGGTCTGGTTTCCGATGGTTTCCTGTGGTTTCCTATGGGTTTCCCAGACGTTTCCTGCGGTTTCCTGTGATTTCCCAGCGTTTTCCACATGTTTGTTATGGCCTGCTATGGTTTCCCATGAATTCTGGATGATAGACATGCTCCTCAAAAGTGAATCTGTTCCCTCTTAAGGGTTTCTGAAGGTTTCCGGTCTGGTTTCCGATGGTTTCCTGGGGTTTCCTATGGGTTTCCCACAGATTTCCTGCGACGCCGGATCTTGGCAATGCTTTGCATCGAAGTTTCTGAAGCAGGCGGCGAGGTTGAGATTCTGTAGTGCTTCCAACAAGCCCACTTCTGGGTCCGGAAATTGTCAGGATTGTGGTGGCTGTTGTGAAGGGGCCTCCAGAGTGCCGGGAGATCTTCTTTGGTTTGTTGATTTTAATAGCTCAGCTACAGCATATCGGTGCTGTCGTCGCCTCAGAATCTGCAGATCAAGATGCTCAAGCTGTAGTCGCTGTTGTGGCTGCTTAAAAAAGAGGAGAAGTTGTGACTTTCACAACACCTGTTGGCGGCCGTTCTTTGAAGTTCTTTGTGAATTGAGAACTCAATAAAAGGGCAAAGTGCCGGGTAAAGAGCGGGGCCAAAAACGGGTCCAGAATTCGGACCCGTTTTTGGAGCCATCTAATATTGGCACAATTCCCGCAGGTTCAGAAAACGGCCCCATTTTTGGGGCCGCATTTTTTCGCGGGGAACCACTTTCGAGCTCGTTGTCGGAATCGCAAAAATCTGGACGCGGATCAAGGAATATCGTCCAGTGTTACCAGTTGGTCAGCAAGATGCAGCGGGATAACTCCAAAATGTAGCACCCAGTCACTGCTTGTCTTGAACACATCTTCGGTTCAAATAATCAAGTTGCGGCATGTGTTCTTGCCAAGTGCAGGATTCGCTGCAGGATGCTGCAGCAACAGTATTTCACTGGAGGTGACAATCACCTTATTTTTCCAAACACAAAATTTCAAGAACCTTTTGGTTTTGAAATAGTGCTTGCGAAAGTTTCTCTTTCTCCTGCTTTACACTTTCACACACAATGTCTTTTGTTTTACAATACATGTCGTGTTTGCGGTTGCCTTTAATTTGTGAGCTGCTGACACAATGGTCCCCTGCGGAGTCGCGCGACATAAGCGGAAAGCCGCGCGAAGCCACGCGAAGCCAGGCGCGAAGCCAGCCCACGAAGCCACGTGCGAAGCTAGAAGCAACGCGCGAAGCCATGCCAAGCCACGCGAGGCCACGCGAAGCCACGCGAAGCCATGCGGAGTCTCGCGAAGCCGCGCGAAGCCGCGCGAAGCCATGCGGAATCCGCGCGAAGCCACCTCTTGCGCGAAGACATGCGCGCGAGGCCGCGCGAAGCAACGCCCGCGAAGCGGCGCTAAGCGCGCGAAGCACGCGCGAAGCCACGTGTAGCACGGCCCAGACCCCCGGGTGGATCTATAAATTAGATCCACTGCTCATCTCGGAAAATAGAGACGATGTGGTCCCAGCCGCCGGCTTCCAGATGTCAGCCAGCTGGAATACCAAGAGCTTCCTCTGAGGGTGATTTTTTGGATTGCGCCGAGAGATGCAAGGCTGACCCACATGTGCCCTCTGTTTTCGCTCGAGGGGGTTACACAGGGTAGTTGGTCAATTGATATTATGCACGCCTGGCACCTCGGACCCACGCAGCAGTTCATAAGCCTGGCTATGCATAGTTTCATTGCTTCGGGTGTGTTTTCTCCCCGCAGTGTGAATATAGAAGCATCAGAACTTCGAGAACTGGCCCTTTTGGCCATTAAAGCCGAGCTCTTTCAATTCTACAAGAACCTGAGATCTACCGACCAAAGGTGGCGAGAGAAGGGATCCGAGGTCTGGAACTTGACTATGGGCATGATTGGAAATGAGGATACCTACAACTTGTCGGCAAAAGCAGCTGAGTCGCACGGTCTTCTTAGATTCGTCCTCTGGCTGCTGCACAAGTACGCCGATGAATTCGCCAAGCAGCCGGATGAGCTGGCTCGCAAGTTCGCACTCTTGACGGCTTGTGCAGAAGCTGCCCATGCCATGGACGAGCTGCTGGAGTTGGAATTCCGACAGTTCACTCGACAACATTGCCAGGCCCTGCTGCAGCTGTACCTACGTTTTTTAACGCTTTACTTGAAAGCGGGCGGTGTATGGAGGCCGAAATGTCATCTTCGTGTGCACAGGATTCAGCGGGCTCTTCACCGAGGGAATCCGCGATTGTACTCCACCTATCGTGACGAAAGCTTGAATGGGGTCATAGCCAAGATTGCTCGTTCTGCTCATCGCAGCACTTGGTCGAATGTGATTCACTGGAAATGCAACTTTCTTCAGCAAAAGAAGCTGGAGGATCATGCTGCAGAGGGCTAGTGCAAAAAAAGGCCGTCTCGCAGTCCGAAGCAAAACCCCGGAGCCCAGAACCACTAAAAACCGTAAACCAGCACCTCAAAACCCCAAAACTCCTCAACCGCGAACCCTGAAGCCCAAACCTTCGCGAACTCTCTCTCTTTCTTCCTCTTTCTGGCTCTCCTTCTCGTAAACTTCGAACCCGAAGCCAAAGCCTTCAAACTCTTCAACCCAAAACGCTTAATTCAGTTTTTTTCGGGTTTGGGGCTTCTGGTTTATCTGGCTCAAACGGCTCAAGCTTTGTACAATGCTCATGATGCAATATACGATATATTCTGGTTCAAACGGCTCAAGCTTTTTTTTATGCTCATGATGCAATATACTATGTATACTGGCTCAAACGGCTCAAGCTTTGTATAAGGCTCAAATGATGTCAAGATTTTCCCTACAACGATTGGCATCGTATCTAATTTTTGGAGTCGCTTGCTCGAGTCTCCAGTTCTTGCGGAGGCCGTAGCGGGGCAAGTCTGCAGTGAGATGTCGTCCACGATCTAGTCGGCTGTATTCAAGATTTCTGGCAATCGTTCGCAGCATCTCCGCCGTATCCACAAGAATTTCCTTTCAGGTGGGCTCGATCCGGTTTCGACATACTAAAAGAAAATCAACCCAAAAAGATGAAGCTACTGCTTAAAGCTGGGCTTTCAGGGATTAGGCTTTTAACGGTTTGGGTTTACCTTACATATGGGTGCTTGTGAGAATTGGCGACCCAAATAGAGCACCCTAAATAATAGGATCCTTGTGATAAAGACCCCCAGAATAAGGTGCCCCTATCTTCGGAAAATAACTCCCGTATTGGAAGCTTATTCACCCTGGTGAACATGCCGATGTCGTTGTTGTAGTCTTCCGACGAGTACAGCAAGTGGCCCACATTGTCCAGGGTAATGCTGGGCACATTGTCTGCAGTCATGTCATCTTGCGAAATACGGCAAAGGGCACACGGGTGGCTGTTGTGATTCCAGAATCTGCCCCCTATGATTTCCAAATAAGCCGGCCAATCGCACTGGATGTCAAGCACACAATACTTCAGCGATGCTTGCAGCTTCTCCAGATCTTGCACCCAGGCATCCAGCAGCGGGAAGATGGTGCACCAGCCGCGACAGCCACAGCGGCACATGTCTTCAGAACCTCCGGCGAAGGCCGGGCTTGAGTGCATTCGTTTCGGTGCCTTACTCTATTCAGAAGCTCCGGCGAATACCGGGCTTGATTGCAGTAGTTTCGGGGCAGTATCATAAGGATCCGATTATTTAGGGTACTCTATTTGGGTCCCCCATTTTCAGAATCACCCATATGTAAGGTAAGCCCAAACCGTCCATGGTAAGGTTGACAATCTACAAGGATTTCATATGCGACTCAACCATCAAAGAACCAAACAATGGATGTGCTTGTTTAGCGGAGGGGCGAAGCAGAAAGGAAACGAACTTCTGCTCGGATAAGATATCAGTCACGTAGAAGCCAGTGAAAGAATCGTGCACTGAGTAGCGGACCCCATCCCAGTAAAGAGCGATGGGCCGGACAAGTTCCGTGTTTCCAGCAGCTCGGGCCCTTTCAACAACAGGGTGATTGTCGTAGCAGGGCAAATTCTGAAGCATCTTTCGGAAGTTGATTTCGTCCTTGCTTTGTACCGAGGGCACCTCCGCGAACTTTCTAAAGAGTGTCGAAGGAAGCATGATGGGCACTTTTTCTGCCACTCGTCGAGACTGCCGTTTCTCGAACAAAGGCACAGTCACGTAGTCAAGATCCGGTTCAGGATATTCTTTTCCAGCATGTAATTTGATATGGTCAAACCCGTGACGAGTGGCTTGCTCGGGATTCAGGGCCCAAGTAGCCACACCAGTACCTCCAGCTCGTGTCACATAGTGACACAATTCTGCCACATCCGATCCAGGTAAGGATCCTGTGCACACATCACCACATATATCAGTACCAAATCGATGGCACTGCATGTGGATCCTACCTGCCAGCAAAAACTCTCAGACAGACGAAAAGGAGCCGCCTACGT